GAACAGGAAAGACCTTTTGAGAATTTTTCTTGAGTTCGGGGGGTAGGTTATGAAAAAGGAAGGTGTTAGCACCCTTTTCATCTGTAGTTATCTACGGGTCTTAGTTGTTAGATCACTTTTGAAATGCTTTATAAATGTGTTTGTGTTTGTTTGAAAGTATTTTTGAAAAGTGCCTTTTTTTAGGTGAACTTTGTAATGATTCTCGTCTCTATAAGAATGTATACAAAGTGTTAACTTTTATAGATATTTTATGAAAGTGTTGGTGCATTTGAAATAAGTTTGTTTTGTAATGTTTATGAGCAAGCAACTATGAGCATTCTACCTACTTAAAAGAAAGTCTTTGTTCTTTTCCTCCTCCTTTAGATAGTGTTGTCTTACCATTAGTTAGTAAGAAACCATACCATTAGATGTGAAGGGACAGACGTGGGTCATCGTTTAGTAATAGAAGGAAACAATGTAGGATACCTTAGCAATTGTTGTAAGGGTCTAAGATCGTTTACCGAAGGCAACGTCGAAGGATCATCGAGGGACTACGATCTTGTAATCGAGAGTCTTTGCTAAAGTATCCCACGTTTGAGGGACATGACTGTTTTAATCTAAGGCAACAAGTGTGGGTTAACCCTAGAGGTGCAAGTGTGCAAAGTGTTTTTATTTTCATGCATTTTATCTTGAATTGGGATTATCTAGTATTGATTTTTAGTCTTGCCATACAAACCCTAATTACTAACAATAATATGGAAAGCGATAAATTGCAGAAATTAAAAGTCCTACACTATTACATCATTTTAGGGGATAGGGATATAAATTACAAATGGAGATAAAAATAATTAAAACCTAATTACTATTACAACCAAATTGAATAGTGCAAAGCAAAATATACAAGAATATAAAGATAATATAAAAGAAAAGAAAATTGTTTTTATGGTTTTTTTTTTTATGAAAGAGTTTTAATCACCCTAATTGTTTTGAAAAGAAGTTGATTAATTAGAAACCTAATGTCTAAATTAATTTGATTAAAAGAGAAAACTAAAATAAAACCTAAATCTAAATTAAATTTTTTGAAAAAAAGAAATTAATTTGTTAAGAAAATATTTTTTAGGTCTTTTGTTTAAAGAAAATAAAATGAACTGAAACTAAAATAATAATTTTTGTTCTAAGTATTTAATAAAGAAAATATATTTTTGCATTTTTTGATTAAAAATAATAATAAAATAAAATTAAATAAAGAAAAGAAAAATAAAAATATAAACTAGGGAGTCATGGGGTTTGAAAAGGGATTTGGAGGTTAGAAAGTAAAATAGTTTTTGTTCAAGGTCCAAACTGTTTTTTGTACAAGTCAGAAAATAAAACTAAAATAAAATAAATGTGATGGGCCTGCGTGGTGTGAAGTAAGAGAGGGGTGAGCTAGAGTAAAATGAAGTCAAACCCAATCAAGGGAGGCCCAACGCGATGTCAAACAAAAAAAAAAGAACAAGGAAAATGTTAGGAAAAAATAACAAAAGGCGTCGCTGGGACTCGAACCCAGGATCCTCCATAGTAATGTCTTACGCGCGCGCTCTCTACCATTGGGGTGGTTGTATATCTGATATTTAGAACACAAATCAATAAGTATATTATAAACCTTGTCCTGAATATGTCATCTTCTTCTTCCTCGCGCCAGGATGTTCTTCACCATTTTTGAAATCTGTAACTTCCTCATTTCTCAACCAAAATGGAAAATGTAAACATGAAAGTTGCTTAAAATTTAACCACGATATCAACCATGTAAATAACTAAAGTTATGGATCAAAGATGAACATGAATTTGGCTTGATACCGAATCTGACCTAATTTTTTCAAGTTCAAACTTAAAATTCTCCACACTCAGACAATATAAATGAATTCTAAGAACACGGTTAGTTTCAGGGCTATGATGTCTATATTTTATCATTTAAAATGGAAGCCAAATGATGCTTGTATGAAGAGATATGAGTTCAAAAAACTCACCTTGCAGATAGAGATCGTGTTTTGAGTTTGAGCACCTTTCAAAGTATTGTAATGATCAGATTAACTTCAATGGACCTCTAGGAAGGTAATACAATGCTTAGTTTGGATTGAGAGTGATTGTATTGTCTTGGAGAAGTCAATATACAACACTCTGTTTTTGGTTATGAAGGGTAATGATGGAGGTGTTACAGTTCCAAACAGGGATGGGGATGAGTTATATTTGATGTGAGGAAGCTTTAGGATTAATTTGGAGAAGAAACGCACGAGTGGATTATGAGATGAAAGTTTTTAGGTAGAAAATGACAAGTTATGAAAGTTTGAATGCAATTCTGGTATGAGAGTGTTTGAGGGAGTTTTTAGGCTTGCAAAATCGTGTCTTAACTTGCAAATAATGTCTTAATTTATAGGAAAGAGGTTTGAAGGCTTGTAGGCATCAGGATCAAGAGTTCACATGCTATGACCATTTGACTTGTTTTTTAAGCAAACTTGACAAGCATTGTTCCAAGACAAAGTACAAGGCTATCTAAAGTGGTTAAACATTTTAAACATACTTATCTCATTTTGTAGAGGAAGTTTGTGCAAAAAGAACAAGTACAAAGATCAATACAGGTAAACTTTGTGATTAAAACAACTTTACTAGAATGGCAATGTTACTTTGTACTTAAAATGGATGAATCTTTTGGGCAATGGCTCACATGCTTGGATCAAAGCTCTAACAGTTGTGTAATTAATTAATTATGGAGTGAAACACAAGTTAAAATCCTGTAAAGTGAGATTATGCATCATGGCTATGAGATTTGGCCAAGGGTTCATCATCAAAATGACTTGTAATTCAAGAATGGATGTCTAACTTCTTGCTTTCGATTCTCTTAGCTCAATCATGATCTCTTCAAATTCTTGGACATTTTGAAAAGCTTGAAACATTATCTAAAACATTCATGTTGACCATTTTGGCTAAATCATCTTGGATCTAGGTGAAAATTGACCAAGAAGTTAGGTAAAAAATTTGTTTAAAGGTGAAATTTTCACTAAGTGTTTTAGAAAAAGATCATGACTTTATGAATTTATAACTCAAAATCCAAAAAATTCTAGTACTTGATCAGCAAATCAAAGTTGTAGATCTCATAGAGATCTACAACTTTCATGTTAAAAATTTTCTTTGAACCATCTAACATCTTGGTAAAAAAATGTCATGAAGTAGTGAAATTATCATGTTTAAAACACTTACAAAATTTTCTAACTCTTGAAAAGTTTGACTTTTTTATATTGACTTTTGACTTTCTTAATTCCTTGATGATCAAGCTTCATATTTTTTTTAATGTATTGATGAATTTTGATCTTTGAAACTCAATGTTGACAAAAAAATCAAAGTTTGACTTTTGGTGTAACAGTTGACTTTTCATCAGTTGATCAAATTTCAAGTATTAATTGTTTGATCTAGAGAAATGATTTGAGCCATGAAATTAGGTTAAGATATTGTGTTTGAATTCTTAAGATCATGCTTCAAACCATTAAGTCATGTATTAGGTCAAAAATCAATGATTGGTCAATCCCAATCAAAACCTAAATTTTGACCATTTTGCCTCTGATGATTTGAATGTTTTTCTTGAGAAATTGTGAGCAAACCTTGATCAATTGATGAATATAACTTTAAAATATTGATATTGACCAAAAATCTTGAAGTTTGATTGTGGGTTGACTATAGTTGATTTTTTATCCAATACAGTCGATTTTTCAGTCATCTAATCCACTGATTGAGTAAAAATGTGTTCCAAGACTTGAAACTTGGCATGAGTATTCTTGGAAGTCTATAATGAACCATGAAAGTCATTTGGGGCATTAGAAGTTAAATTGTCCTTGTGAAAATCAAAATCCTAATTTTAAGCCTCAGTGTTTAGGAGGTGGTTTGACCTAGTCAACACTTGTGTAAACTTGAGCCATTGAAGATCTTTCTGGAAAATGTCTTGAGAAAAGGGAGGGTAAATTTTAAAATACAACAACCGCCCCTGTTCAATCTTCTTAAACCTGAAAAGTTAGATTGGTATGTTCGTCATTCGTTTCTTGAAGGTGGAAGATGATTGAACACTAGAGTGCCCGCAATTTGTACTCGTTTGTGTATGAAGTGATGTTGTTGGTTGATTATATCGGAAATGGGCTTAGAGATGCCATTTGGAGAGGTGAAGGAGATGGACTTATCGATGTCATCCAGAGATAATGAGTCTACACATGACCGAATCTGAGGAGTGCTTTCCAGAATGATTCTCTGGGAAAGGTGTTTAAGTAGCTGCTTATCATATAGATAGTTGCCCCGTCCTGTTTCGAAAATTGATATATGATCACCTTGTTGGTAAACTCATCTCATTTCGGAAGTTCATACCACTTGGTGATAAAGATAGTCGCTCCGTCCTATTTCGGGAATTGATCTTTATCTGACCAAAGAGAAAAAAAGATAACTTCCCCGTCATGTTTCGGGAGTTAATCTTCAATTTGTTCATGTAGATAGTCGCCCCGTCGTGTTTCGAGAATTGATCTACAATCAGTTTGTTGGTAAACTCGTCCTGTTTCGAGAGTTCATTCCACTTGGTGATAAGCATAGTCGTCCCGTCATGTTTTGGGAATTAACCTTTATCTGACGAAAGAGAAAGAAAGATAGTTTCCCCGTCCTGTTTCGGAAATTAATCTTCAATCTGTTCATGTAGATAGTCGTCCCATCTTGTTTCGAGAATTAATCTACGATCAACTTGTTCTTCACAGATAGTTGACTGTTATTATAATCAGGCTATTATATTTTTATTTTTTGTAAAAGACAAATTTTATTAATAACTATAACACACCCCAAGCACAAAGCGCACAAGGGAGGAAAATATAAAACCAAAAGCGAATTACAAACTAAAAGTACTCAGAAAATAATAATCCAAAATTCTCCAATCCAAACCACATTCTCAAACCATGAGACCAACAATTCATGCTAGCAAAACTTTGAATCTTCCTTTGATCATATGCCTAGAAAATTGACTAGATCTTGTGAACACCATAACCTGAATCCTCTGATGTCAAATCCTCTTTCCAATTCTCAAATTCTTCTCCACCAAACACTACTTGCTTAATCCCAACAAAGCTATCAAAAACATAAGAGCAAAATCAATTAATGGGATTGAAATAGACATCTTATTAAACGGACAGAGAAAGTGGAGAACATACTCAGAACTTATCTGTGTCAATGCATTTATCAAAATATCTAGAATCAATGGTTCATTAGTTCCAATATCCACCCTGTTATAAGAATTAGCACTTCAAATCACATTAATTAATATGTATAACAGAACATTAAGAATGAACAAATATGAATTCAGTGTCGCACCATATCCGAGCCAAGTTGTCTTGAACCTCAAGATCCCCAATGTTGTAAAATGTAGTTGGCGTCACGTTTGCTCCCTGGATGTAATCATAACTTGGTCGTTTTTCTATCTGAGACTGTGACAGCTGTAGAAATTTTATGCCAGTTCTATATAAGCAATACAATTATGTTTGAAAAATTCGATAAAAATATAAAAGAACAACGAGAGAGAAAGAAAATTTGGTTCTAATGGAACAAGAGAATTACTTACTTGCATGTTCATGGCGTTGCATCCTCCAAGACGTCCTACAATGTGCCATGCTCGAATAGACTGCAAAAACCCAAATTCAACAAATTGTCCTGTAAGAAGCATGTGTTCATCGTGGAGAATGTACGAGAAAAATAGAGTCATAGGATGATGTTACTTACATCACAAATTAAGGAGATGTCTTTTGCCAATGGAGCGTTGTAAAATTCAAACCATATATAGGAGTTGGAATAATCAAATCTGGAAATGCCAGCATCTGGGGTGAGAAAAACGGAATATATTTTTGATAGAAAGGTAATTAGAATATTTACTCATTGCAGCATGTAGAATATGGACAGGCACTTTGGGGACACGGTGAAATGTTAAAAACAAATTATTGTCTGGTTGATTGTATGCAACAAATTATCCTGAATATATCTGACTATGTGATGATATTTGAAACACACCCAATTATCCCCCTAGCAAACATACTAACACTGACTAGATTTGTCTTTCTTTTTTTAATGCTAGGTGACACTGTCTAATTTTTAATGATGACTTATTTTTAATTCAATTGCACGGTTAGTGAGTTTACATTTATACTTTCTTGTGGGTTTACAAGCTAATACTCTCAATCAAGAGGCAAACCTAGAAGCAACACAATGTCTAATTTTTATTTTTAGTTACGTATCTTATTCTATAAGTTTCAATGAGTGACGTAACGCAGTTTTAGATATTTGTATCCGATACCCTATCATGTCCGTTCTTCATTAAGGAGGATTAAAGAGTAAAGAGAATAACAGATGGCTACATGTCAACAAGGGAATGAGGAAGGGATACATGAATCAGGGAGAGTACCATTATCATTTCTGCAAGGAGGTCGGTCTTCCCCATCCATTATTGTTTTTCAATTTATTGTTCTTATCTTTTGTAAGATATCTCGTACATTTTCGATTACTTCTACTTTGCTATTTTGTATTGGTTCCTATCAGAAGAAAAATTAAAGGATCCAACTGGCCAAACCTTGACCATTCCCCGTCATAATCTAGTCCTGACCATCGAGATTAATTGGTTACACGAGGTGTTGCGGAATAGATCTAATATGATGTGTGGCATACCAATGCTATGCTGAGGATTCTGTAGGAAATATTTTGAGTTCTCAGAATTTGGATCAGGCCTAACTCAACCCTACAAAACCGGATTGTAGGGTGAGGATTGCCCCACTTATAAACACGTGTTCAGACCACATATTGTCCGATGTGGGGCTCTTAACACACCTCCTCCACGCCCAGGACTAGACATCTGGAGTGTGGAAATAAATGGTGGGTGGCCCAATAGCGGAAACCTGATAGCAGGTGGTGCACCGGATCTTAAACGAGGCTCTTATACCATCTCAGAATTTGGACTCGGCCTAACTCAACCCTACAAAACCAGCTCGTAGGGTGGGGATTGCCCCCCCTTATAAATATGTGTTCAGGCCATATATTGTCCAATGTGGGACTCTTAACATGAGTAAAACAGAGGAAATGGAGCTTAATTTTGTTAAGATCAAAAGTATCAAACTCAAGAAATGGAACTATAGCAGAGATTTTAGTCACAGCAGAGGAAATAAATAGATTTGCATTCACCTTACTGCAGGGGATCTAGATGAAAAAAATCGAGAATAATCTCTACCAGTATTTCAAAGAGCAAACTCTTAACAAACAAAGAATTCTCCCTCCACAACAGTTAATAGCCAATACCCTAACACCCACATATGTAACCAACTCCTTAGAGAAAAAACCCCAGCCTGCTGGTCATTCTTCTTGTAAAACTTACATCATTTGGATCCATAAGAAAATTGGTCATTAGGTTCAAGACTCAGGTGCCTATCATATACTACTGCTTCCAATGAGATGGTTGTGAAGGCACTAAAGACCAGGATAAATGGACAATAAGGCAGCAGCCTGCTGAAGGAGCATGAAGTTGACCATAGTTACAGCCTACCTAAGGTAACCAACTTAAGCATCAATGACTGATCTTTTAGAATACTAGACACCTGCTCATTTTTCTGCAACCTTCACTGCCACCATGTCAAGAATACCACCATGACCTATTATGTTCTTGTTATGATACTTGTTGGCGAAGAGGAAGAATCCCCCACAGGAAATAAGAGAACCCTGTAAGCCAATTATAGGAAGAAGCAGAATAGGGTCAACTAGACAGTTCGGAGTCTGTTAGATTCTGCTAAGTAGCAATCTGCTAATCTGTCGTTAGTAGTCTGTGTGTTTAAATTCTATCCATATCTCTCAAAATGAAAAGGAAGGTATGTCTGAACAATTGAGCTGTGGCTGATTAATCTAGTGTGAAAGGATAGTGCTCCTTTGGTTACTCTTATATAAATCTTCCAACACTTTTGTGCTTCCCAACTCAGGAACAGAACATGACTGTCTAACCTCCTATATCGATATGGATTACTCGAGCAGACCGCTAATAAGTGCAACAGGTGACCCTTAACGATGGTCTCAACAGGTTCCTACAAGATAATGAAGTTTAGCACCCTACTTCACTGAAACTAGATGCGAAAAAGTGTCATAAATCTCCACATTTCTAACTTCCATTTAATTTCTCTCAACTCCCCACTCCCCAGTCCCCAATTTAAACCATATAGTCTTCAAAAAGCATGTATTGTAGCAGTCTCTTGCATACTTATTTTGAAAACATATCTAGAACTAAGATTAAAAAAAAAAACCAAGGGCTAAAGGTTTACCCTTGGTGCACACCTATAGTTATAGAACTTTATGTATTTGCACTATGTGTTTCCACACTAATTGTGCCCTCTCAGAAATATATTTGACAGCAAAATATAAGTAATCGGAATTTTTTATTTTCTAAAGGCTTCTATAAACAGCTCTTTGAGTAATTTCTCATATGTATCTTCCAAATCAAACCATATATAAGACAATTTTATTCCTCCAATTATCTATCAATCTTCTTAGCAAGTGTATAGCTTCATTGGTCAAGACTCAAGTCATTAACACAAAATCAAGCTATACAAAATTCAAACAAACCAAATTTGAATAAATACCTACATATTCAATAATCTCAGACCTATCACAATTTCAACTCAGTTTTAAATGCACCTGTTAGAAAACATGAAAATATTTTAATATTTTATAGTACCTTGATTTTACGTTAGAGTCTATAACCTCATAAGACTAGTTTTTGTATCAGTATGTTAGATTATCCAATTAATTTCTGTATCTTAGTTATTATCATGATTTGTTTCCCTATTCAGTTAGAACTTAGAGTTATGAACTGATATAAATAAAGGTTGGTGCTTAGTCTATTTTGTATCGTCAATCATATGATCAAACCATAATCATAATTCAAACGAAGTCTTTATTATTTGTCTTCCCTCCTTCCTTTTCTAAAACCCTACAACTCCAACGGTCACCATCCTAGCATTATAGTTTCATTTCCACTTGTGCCCTTCCCTGAACAACGGCATAACTAAAACTTATTTCAATGCTTATTCATATTCTGTCCTAAAAATTCAATCCTCAATTATACATTTTTCAATTTGAACAAACCAAATAGAAGAGAAATGGAAAATTCATGATAAGAAACAGGCAACTACATGAGCAAAGTCAATCGAAAAAATTTCATGGTTCGGTCACATGTATATATATACACAGTTGAACTTACTTATTAAACGATACTTTCATTGGTACTCCTGAACCAGTCTTTGTGTGCAGTATTTTGTTCCTATTCTTTCGTAGTCTCTCCTCCATCTGCAAATTAATCAAAGCTCATTTAGTTTAACCTCTGTATCATTTCGAAGTTGTAACTCTTAAATTTTCAACAACTTGAATGGTACATACAAACATCACTCTTAGATTTAACTAGTTGAATCAACCGCAATTCTACGAATTCAACGAACAGCAATCAGCCGATGAGACATCATTAGAAGTAGCTACTTACTCTAGATTGTGCCTTCTCGGGATCATCTAGATAACCACCAAGTATTTCAGCAAATTCAGGATTTCTATCAAAATCCTTCTCTTCCCTGCCTTTATAGGGTCCACCACTGGAATATCTTGTAGTATGACCATCAAATTCTTGTCCTTCTTGAATATCAATAACATCCTTCATTTCCATCCCTTGAGGTGAAAACCCGGCATAATCATCCCTCTCGTCTACCTGATCTTCCTCAGTAATATTATTGGAATTTTCACGTCCGCGACTTGTAGGAGCACTACGTAACAATGTCGGTGTTGGGACATTTGTGAGGAGTAGAAAAGGTGGGGTAGAGGATTTGATGAAGTGATTGTTATGAGAAAAAGAGTTGGAGCGTGTGAGGGTAATGCGTGAAGGAAGAGGGGCAAAGGGGAGTGATATAATCATGGATTTTGAGGTCTATTTATTAACCTGCACCATAATAAATCACAATGTTGGGAGAAATGAGTGGATATGAATATATATAACACAAATCAGCAACTAGAAACTACATTAGAAACATGTGTCAGCTAAAATCATCAAATTTAGTGGTTAGTAAATAAATTGGTTGAAATGAATTGGGGTTTGACAGTGTTTGATTTTGATGTGTTGCGGAAAGAATTGAAATAGAGAGAAAGGTAAAGTAAGAAAGAAAAAAAAGAGGAAAGGGGCGTTCATAGTACTCACAGAGGTTGGCGGTTCGTCAGTTGGGCGGCGTGAAAATTTTAGAAGGAGATGACATTATCATTTATCAAGCAGGACTAGTACGGCGTTTCTTTTAGTATTCTGTTTTTTAAATATGGTTAATGTTTTTTCAAATAAAATATATGATTAATGTTAACAGATGATTTTACAATTTCGATCATTATTAATCATTTTCTTTTCTATCGTACGCTTAAGTATTTATTATTTTATTTTTTAAATTTGTATTTTTTATACAATTAATGAATATAATTTTTATACAATTATATTTGTTTTAATAGTAAAATATGAATCATATATTAAAAATAAAATAACTAAAAGTTAAATAGAATCCAATGCATTAAAAGTAACTAAGGCACACTAACTCAATGCTACTTAGAATTCTAAGAAATTTATACCAAAACATCAAGAAAACACTCCAACCACCTAACAAGAGAAATACAAATTAATCTGAAAAGTTGTCAAGACTATTTTGAATCTTTTGGCTTGCGGACCTCTAGAGAGAGCAAGTAGGAAGAAGGTAGATATTTTCATATGTATAAAATAAAATGAGAATAGTCGGTCACCTAACACCCTCTTAAATGGATAGTTAATTGAGTGGGTTCCGCTCCCAGTCAACTAGAGAAATGAAGAAATTTGAAGTATAGACTCGAATCCACTTCCGCTCCAAGTTAATTATCGTAGACATCCAATGATTAACCGTCAAACTTTCCTAGTGAAAAATAATTTTGTTCTGTAATTTTTAAATAGTCTATACCACATAATGTCATATCAAAATTAGGCCTAAAGACGTTTGTTTCCCACACCCAAAACCCTATAACAACTCAAAAATCCCTAAGGTCGAGCAAGGCAAAGCCCTTAGTTTCCCTACCCACTACAATATTATATATTAAATGATAGACGTTACCCATATAAAATAAAGAGAAGATTTGTCAGCTCCACATGCCCAACACACACACAATCCCCCTTAACACTAGAACCTGACATTATTTGACATCTAAGAAGATTTTGTCTAGTCAACAGTCTATTTCAAATTAGCTGCCAAGAGAACACCACAACTTTAGATGTACCCAACTCTTCTAAGCCTAATACAATCTCTTCACCGCCCTCTCAGACCTATCTTCCCTGACTCCTTCCAGATCCATCAGGCTATCATAAGTCGAACCAACTATAAACCCCTTAGTCGAGTCCAACTTTAAAACTTAAGAATCCACCCTATCCGTCCAACTATATACGTTATAAGACCAAGAAAAAACTCAAATATATCCTCCTCAAAGACTTGGAAAGACATTATCTGTCTGAATCTCCAAACTGAAACATCACCTTCCTAAACACTCAAGGAACCCACCAACTGAGACTTCTACTCCGAGATCAAGAAGAGTCTCTCAAAAGAAATTCTAAACAGACTAGCCATAACACAAACATCATGCCAGAATCTAGTATTCAGACCATCCTCAACCTTCCTTGCCCTAGAGGTGGCAAACCAGTGGGGCACATGATCCAATGGAAACCAATGAAGAGAAACACCTTTCCACCAGTGTAACACCTTCCAAAGGCCCCCTCATCATCCTCTAGAAGGGGAACCATACCCTTGATACTCGTACCTAGCCTTACAATATATCTCCAAAGTGAGGGTGAATCATGAAGAGTCCTCAACCTCTTCTTACTAAGCAACACTAGATTAACTAGTCTAAGATCCTTGACCTTAATACCTCGTTCCCTTGTGGCTTTACTAACATCCTCTCACTTAATCCAAGCAACCTTAGTACCTCTTTTAAGGGGGAGCCTGAAGAAACCTCCTTTAGAAACCAACTAATTTCTTCCAAACACACACCGACTACTTCATATAAGACATAAAGAACACCACAATCGAATTCAACAAAACCACCCTACCACCTTAGCTAACAAATTTATTCCTCCTAAAACTTATCCTCTTAGTGACCAGGCTAACCAAAGGATCCCAACTCTTTTCCTTCTTCGGGTTCGTTTCTACTATACTTAAAAGGAAGGGACCCCATCTTACAATGTAAAAATTTCTCTACCAAGTCCATGAAAGGCTTACCCATATTCATGCCAAACAAACAACTCTTGGAAAAGTTTACTTTGAGAACCCATACAAGTTAAAACTTCTAAGAACCGCCTTAATAGTCAAAATTTTATCAACAAACAGAACCCTCACCAATAATGTTTCCTCAGCATACTGGAGACGAGACACCTCAAGCTCGTCTGCATCCACCTTAAAACCTTTAAACACATCTAACGAGTCTGCCCTTCTCAAAGAACCACAAAAACCCTCCACCACTAGAAGAAAAATAAAATATGCTAAAGAATATCCTTGTTTCATACCCTTTTGGATACTAATCTCCTCATAATGGAACCCATTAACCAAGACTGATATACTACCTAAAAAACACATGCCTTAATCCAACTTATCTAACGATCATCAAAACCTAATACCCATAACATATATTCCAGGAAGGAGCAACTAACATAGTCGTAAGCCTTCTCAAAATCCATCTTGAACAAAAAACACTCTCGCTTAGACACCTTAGCAAGATCTAAGACCCCGTTTAGTACCACCATCCATCCACTAACTACTTCCCCTTAAGAAAAGTTGAATTATCTATAGAAATAAGCTTCACATGACACTGGACAACTTAACATCCAACACATTAGCTAACATCTTATATAAAGAACCAACAAGAGAGATAGACCTAAAATCTCCCAAACCCAATGGGATTCCACCTTAGGAATAAGGGCTACAACAAAGGAAGTTAGACTCTTATGCAACATAAAAGTATGGTAAAACGGATCAAACAACTCAAAGACCTCATCCTTAATTAACCCCATAGACTTCTTAAAGAATGAAAAATTGAAACCATCATAACCTCGGCTCTTCGACCCATCAATTTCAGCTACAACAACATTCACTTCCAAGGACAAAAATCTAACAGAGAGGGAATTAGCCACAACTGCAGAAACACAAGGAAAAACAACCACATAGAGGGTCGGCCTGCTAGTTTTAGAATATGAGATAAATCCTCAAAGTGCCTTGATATCTCCCCTCGAACCTCGTGAACCTTATCCAACCAAAATTCCCTCATACAAAGAGAGACCAGATTGTTCCTCTTACTCCTTTACTTAACATAAGCATGAAATTACCTAATATTGGAATCTCCCCCCTTCAACCAAGCCAATTTAGAACTTTGGAAATATAGAGAGTCATGACATCATATCAACTCCTACAACTCTTGGATAACTTTAGATCTACTATCTAAATCCTCTAGGGAAAGATGGTCTGAATATGCTCTTAACTCCAAACTTTGATGCTTATATGAACATATCTTAATCTTAAACTTTAAATTACCAAACACCCCCTTATTCCAAACCTTAAGTGTCCCTTTAAGAGCTTTTAACTTATTGTCAGCTTACACATCATCAACTGTCACAAACCTCTGTCCTTGGGACTCACTAACCACCCTTTTAAAATTAGTATGTCTCAACCAAAAATTATTAAAGTAGAAGGGCTTAGCTCCCCAGAGATGAGACATGTACTTCAAAATAACTAGACAATGGTCAAACACATCTTGAGGCAAAGCCTAAAGACTGCTTTGGCCCCACATATCCTCTCACTCAGTCGAAAGAAGATCCAGATCCAACCTACTCATAGAGACCTCATTCGAATTGAACCAAGTAAACCTCATTCCCAACAAAGGAAGATCCACCAACCTTATTTCCTCAGTGAAAGCACTAAACTCTAGGGAATCTGTAAGGAACGAGGCTTAAGACCTCCTAACAAACCCTTTTCTCTCTTCCCAATTAAGAAAGACATTAAATTCTCTAAACATACATTAGACAAAATCTGAGAATTGCTCTCGAGCTCAAACTAAGAGATCCCACATCACTCTTTTCTCTTCCATCAAACACCTTGCATAACATTGACTACAAAACATGGTCAAGCATTTACACCTCACACAATAAATGCCCCAAGATACCCTAATCCATAAAATGAGAAGATTTTCTTCCCATTTGCACTAACCCATATCAAGAGCAACCTGTGTTATCCTCATCCGTGAAGGAGAAACTTTAGCCATAAGTCGAGTTACCCCACAAAGAACTATACAAAAAATCATCCATCTACATAAGCTTAACCTTTTGAATTGCCAAAAAATCAAATGGAGATCCCTAACCAAATCTCTCACCTTCCTTTTCTGAACACTCACTCTTAAAACTCTAACATTAAAGGATCTTGCAATCATTGAACACCTTCTATCTCCCAAACCATTTTAGCTAAAACATTTATCTCTTCACACTGAACTAACTTCTCAAACACATAATGATCAACATAAGGGTAAGAAAATCTGACATGTTGTTCCTTTTGATTGTCTGCATTAGATAAAATAACACAAGTACAAGATGTATTTTGTGTAGAGGCAATATGTGGTACAAGATGTTCCAGCATGTGTGTGCAACATCTGGCTTCAGTCTGCAGACTAAGATTTGTAAGTGAATTGTGCATTTTGATGTATGTGTTAGACGATGGAAATTTATCTAGAGAGGGGTAAATAGATACCCATGGTTAAAATCCTTTTAAAATCTGTTTTTGAAAACAATGAAAACTATGGCAAGCGAAAGATTAAGCTTAAATCGAACAAGTCGTCTAAACCGAAGCAGATATTGGAAATTCGGATATGCGTAAACCACAT